GCAGGGGGAGGGTGTTTAAAAGAACAGGCATTGGCTGAATGAGAACTAAGAATGCAGGAGACTCTGCTCCTCTCAAGAAGAGAAAAAGCCACAAATCCAGCCTGATATGGAGAAGGAAGGAAGTGGGGAGACAGAAAAGAAATCCTATCTCCTGATGATCTTAGCACTTGGAGGCTATTTTCTCATCCCTGCCTCCTACTCCTGGGTTGGCTCAGAGTGGTGCATATCTGCTTCAAAACAGCCCTTCTTCCCAGGATCATAGTAATGTCCACTACGGAAGAAACACCCACTATGTTCTGAGAAGCAGCATATTCATATTCTTAATCCTCACAATAACTTACCATAAGGTCAATTTACCCCTTTTCAATTTAAACATTCAGAGAAGTTAAGTAGCTGGCCCACTGTCATGAGTTAAATAATAAGTAGAAGAGCTGGAATTTAAACCCAGTTTCCTCTAACACCAAGAGATGATAATATGCTCTTTTTGCCAACCTGTGTCTCTTTTCTATCTCAAACCCATCTCAAGTCAACAAATAGTTCCTGAGCTTCTCCTAAAGGCCAGGTGCAGCTAAGAGCTGTTGGTTTTCATTCTGTGACCCCAGGACCCTCTTCCATCCCTCTGTCCCTGCTTCTCTTTCCCAGAAGCTCCCACTTCCAAAGATCATTCCCCTCCACCTCTCAAGGCTGCCTCCTTCCAAGTAACTTTATGCCCAATTCTAGCCTGAGCTCTAGGTGGGATACAGGCATAAGTTCTAAGGGACTTAGAAGAAGTGAGGGCAAGGGCTTTGCCTCCTTGGACCAGGAAGAACTTGCCTGCACAGTTCTTCCTGATCCAGGCACATCACCCTGAGCCTCAGTTGAGCATCTTGCAACCTGACCTTTGAAGAGGGAGTATGTGGTCCTCTGAAGGGTCACAGCTATATAAAGAGAAGCCTCTGGGGCTGAGTGTAGCTCCTCAGAGGAGAAGGATTGAAGAATTTATTAAGCCCCTAATGTAAGCCCCAAATGGTGAAAGGCCGTGTGCTGGAGATACTACAAAGATATTGTGAGGAAAAGGGCAGATGGCGGCCTCTAGCCCCATGGAGATTATATTTCAATGGGGACAAGCAATAATAAAAATTACACAGGTATATAAAAGGACTCCCCATCGTGGTGAATGTTATGAAAAAAGCAAATGAGGGGTTAAGAAAGAGGTGAGTGGGAGGTCAAGCAGTGGAATGAAGGAACATGGTGATCCTGCGAAGCTGGGGAGGAAATGAGGACAGCTAGAAATGGAAGGGCCCAAGGGCCTGCTTTCCTAAGACTAGGGCAGTGAGAACCAGTCCAGCTGCTGATCTCAGCCTCTGGACCTTTCTGGCCTTAACTCAGCCCTCAGCTCTCACTTCTGAACCCCCTTGTTGGCTTAATTATTCACTCTCCACCTTTCCCTAGCTTCCTGTGTGGAGGGGTGGGGTGGATAGGGCAGAGCCCTGTGTCTCTGAGGGTAGCAGGAATGGGAATGGCATTGGTTAAGAGGTAATGGCAAGCTCTCAAGTTCTCTCCTTCTTTTCTTTGTCCCACTCTGGTCTTGCCACAAAGACAGGTCTGTGCCAGAAGGACAAAGAGAATAACTAGGCCCAGCTGGAGATCCTGAGTCCAGAGGTAGAAGCTAGCAGCCAGACATGCTCCCTTCATTCCCCTCACCTGCCTAGTATGCACTCCTGATCTGGAGAGCCACCCCACTCTTTAGTCACCTCCACTTTACATCTGTGAGTACGTGGACTGGTCCAAACATGCCAGTAGTCATGCATTTATGTTGGGTGTGGTGTAGGGGGCAAGTTGCCTTAGAATAAGGGTTAGGAAAGTGTGTAGGCTCGCTGTGCTTGGATGTAAGGAAGATGGCAAATATGAAAGGCAGGTGTGGGAAAAGGATATGTCTTTGTAGAGGAAGTGTGTTTTATGCTGTCAAGAAGAAGTGTGTAATGCTAAGGGGTCCCATGTATTTAGACAGGAATAGTGCATGTAAAGTAACTTCACATATAGTCCTAGGAAGCAACTGTATACACAGCAGTAAAGTATCAATTTCTAGTCCAGTTGTGGGGCTGTCCATTTATTTGCATCCCCACACAATCTTGGTTGAGAAATGCCCTTAGGTGTTCCTTATCCGGTGTCTGCATAAGAATTGTCCCAGCTTTTCTTAAGATGCTGTCAATGTAGAGTTTGAAGGAATGTATCTATGTCTCAAAAGCTTGGAGTGACCCAACTGGTATGTGTATTTTCAGTTTTGCATTTCTCATCTTTCATTTATCAAGATTATTGAGCCCTGGCTGGTGTGGCTCAGTGGACAGAGTGCCAGCCTGTGAACCAAAGGGTTGCCAGTTCAATTTCCAGTCAGGGCACATGCCTGAGCCAGGTCCCCAGTTGGGGGCGTGTGAGAGACAACCACACATTGATGTTTCCCTCTCTTTCTCCCTTCCCCTGTCTCTAGGAATAAAATTTTTTTTTTAAAGAGGTTATTGAGCAACTACTACATGCAAGGCACTTGCTTTCTATGGCGGACACAAAGACGTGTGACACAGTCTCTAATGGGAGAGGTCAGACATATATTCAGCATGTCCCAAGACATCATATGATCTACTATAAAGATCTGAGCTTAACATTTCAAATCTCTGGAGTCAGCTTTGCTTCCTTTATTCTGTGCTGTCAGCACCTCCTACTCTCCATGCTCGCTGATGCTAAGACCCATCTTAACTGTTAAATTCTGGTGATTTCATGCTAGGAATGTCTCTTAGAGCCACCCTTCCTCTTGGTCACTCTGCCATGGCCCATTTCAAGCCCTTATTACCTCCTATCTGCACCTCTTCAATGGCCTCCTGCCCTGCCTCAGTGTCTCCGCACCCAGGGCATGCTCATTATCCTACTCAGTTCCCGGGTTCAAGTGTCCTCCTGTGGGGCCCTGTCACCCTGTGCCCCACATGCTCCACAGTCTGGTCACACCTAGATTCCTGACCTGGCAGCTAAGCTGTCCCCACTTTGCCCAACTGCTTCCCAGCCCTTGTAACTTCCCATTACTCCTCTATAGGAACTTACTCCAGCATTGTTTTCTTCGTGGTTCCCCAAACACATGCTGTACTTTTCCGGCTCAAGGCTGACTCCATTCTCTTTCTCAAAGTCATCTTCCACATCTGACTCTGTGGTAGCCCACTCACCGTTCAAGGTCATCTCACATGCCACTTTTCCAGAAAGACTCACCTGACTGATTAGTGAACACCAGCTTTTTGAAAAAAAGATTTATTTATCTATTTATTTATTTCTGTATAGAGGGGGAAGGGATGGGGAAAGGGAGGGAGAGAAACATCAATGTGAAAGAGAAACATTGATCAGCTGCCTCTCATATGCACTCTAACAGAACCCGCAATCCAGTCATGTGCCCTGACCAGGAATTGAACCTGCAACCTTTCGCTTTGTGGGACAACACTTGACCAACTGAGTCCCACTGGTCAGGGCTGAACACTAGCTTTTTGGGGTCCCCTTACACTGGCTTCCATTTTCTTAGGACCCTCAAGGAGTTCTTCAGGGTAGGCCCAACCTGAGGTATCCTTTGCGTCTGGCTTGCCTCACTCAGCAGTACATACACTGAATCTACCTCAGTACCTTTAATAGGGTGCCTGGCACCAATAAATACCCAATGACTGTGTCCATGAGCAGTTGTGTCTAAGGCACTTATGAAAATGTGTCAATTCTTTCTTAAGCTGAATTATTACCATTACCACAACCTTTGCATAGTGCCTCATACTTTAAAATGTTCTTCACATGAATTTTGTTATTTGATCCACACAACAAGGGAGAAATCTGGGAGACTGCTAACCATCTACCTTTGTATTTAGTGATCCTCTGCCCTAACTTTGTATGAACATCCAACTGGATAAGTGCTGGTTTGTCCCTGTGGAGTCTTCACCTTTGCTCTGTATGGTGTGTGTGCATGTGATTTGCATGTTGAAGGGGACAGAGCATGCCACCTCAAAATGTGCCACTTTGCATATGGATTGCTTTGAGCTGAAGGCCATCAAGACCCAGCAGACACAGGAAAAGCTTTTTACCTCTCCCTAAACTGTCTAAATGAATTTATTAGGGGCCTGTACCAGGAAGAGAGCTATTACCAGAGAGGACATTTTTATCTCAAAGACTTGCCTGCTTGTCAGGGCAAACATCTGACTACCAAGCATCTGCTCTTCTGATCTCCTGTGCATTGTCCTGCTCCCTGGTGAACCCATAGCTCCCACCCTTTAGGATGGCACAGAAGCCTCAGTCACTTGGGCACCTTTGAGTCTCAGGTCTTCATGGCTCAGGTTAAGTACATAATTAAACGATTTTCTCCTGTTAATGTCTTACATCAGTTTCATTATTAGACCAACCAAATAACCTAGAAGGAAAGAAAGGAAAAATTTTCCACCCCTCCAGCACGGGGTGGGGGAGGGGAGGGGAGTGTGTGTGTGTGAACGTTTGTATGTGTGTTTCCTGTATGCTCAGACCCACTCATTGTGAGCTAATGAGTTCATTTTTCTTCCTGTACTTGGCTATTTCTGTAACGACTTCCCTCTTGGGTGTGTTTTGTATGTGTATGTACAAGTCTGTGACTATATCTGTGTAACTGTGGTTCCTTGACTTTGCTGGGTTAGCATTGTAGCAGGATGGCCAGATTTCCTTATGTATAATCCTGCTGCCTCCCCAAACTTGAGGCCTGTGGCTAAACCATCTCCTAAAGCTGTCTGTGGGCCCTTCTCCAGCTGCCACATGTCCAGACATGTGCCTGCAGCCCGGGATCTCGCTCAATCCCTCTCACGTCTCACACACAACACAAACTTAGGCAACCACAGCTGCACAGGCCTTGAAAGTCTCCGCTCTCCGCCCTTTGCTTAATCGTCGGAATTTCCAGCGGGCTCTGGCCCAGAGATCGCCGCGGGGTGGAGTTGAGAAGGGCCCGCCCAGTTCCGGGCTGCACAAAAACTCGCTCTGGAATACTGCGGGGGCCCTCAATCGTCATTGCTGTCCACTCAGCGGCCATGTGCATGTGTCGCTCTCGCAGTTCCCTCCCCACCATGACCGTACTGCGGGCCCCGACCCCAGTATCCTCCACCAGCTCGGGACCCCGACGGGGCTCCGGTCCTGAGATCTTCACGTTTGACCCTCTTCCAGAGCCGGCAGTGGCCCCTGCCGCGAGGACCAGCGCCTCCCGCGCGCACCGAAAGCGCAGCCGTAGGGTCCTCTACCCACGACTGGTGAGTGTCGCCGAAGTGGGCAGTTGGGGGGAGGGGCGGGGGAATGGCCAGACGTCGGGGCTCCGAGTGACCTGTCCCTTGGTTGTCTCGCACAGGTCCGGCGCCAGCTGCCTGCCGAGGACCCGAACCCTGCCAAAAAGCTCCTCTTCCTCCTGCTCACCATCGTCTTCTGCCAGATCCTGATGGCTGACGACAGTGTCCCAGCGCCCTTGGCGCGGGAGGACGCCCCCAGCGCTGCGTACCCCGCGCCTACCCCTGCGCCCCCAGCCCTCGAGCCACTTAATCTGACCGCAGAGCCCTCGGACTACGCTCTGGACCTCAGCACTTTCCTCCAGCAACAGCCAGCCGCCTTCTAACCGTGACTCTCCACACTCCCCAGGAAGAATCTGAAAAAGCAAAGAAACACCAGGTGTATCTGGTGTGCGAGAGTATCCCAAACTGGGACTCACAAGGCAACTCGCACTCCACACTGCAGGGGAGCCGTCACGGACACGCTGGGCAAGGCCGGGCGGGGAGGAAGGAGTGCGTTAAGTCTCATTGCTCCTAATTAATATTTATAAGTATTTATGTTTGTCTCCTAGGTGCTAGGGGGATATATTAATATTTATTTAACTTATACGAGGGTGCGAGACGTGCCCGTTGCTGCACAAGCAGGTCTCTATGTTGAGCTTGGTGGGACTGACATACAGCGCCCCGGCTGGGAGTCAAGGATGGTAGTGGGTCGGCTGGGAGTCAAGGATGGTAGTGGGTCGTAAATTCAGGGGTAACAACCTCCGTCCTCCAGCATCTTAACCCCCTGGGACCACCCTGTGAGGCTTCAGCAGGCCTCTGGTTATAAGGTACTTGGCTTTCGGTCTCCTCGAAGTTGTCCCCAAAGGGTGGCTACGTGGTGAGGGGTCAGGGCTGTCAGGGGGCGGCTGTGGGGTCGCCCGTATGTTCTGTGAACATAAATAAACTCTATTTACTGTCGTCAGTCATTTGAGAGTATCTTTGCTAGCGGCGATTCCCCTCTCCGGGCGCCAGGAACGAGCGGCCAAGGCTACTCTTCCCTGACAACTGAACCCAGCATCCGGTGAACCGACACTAACGTTCGTTGCCCAGTCTGCATTTTTCCAGAACTTCCCGCGGGGCATAGCCTAAATGAGGCAATATCCCCCGCCCGGAGCTCAGGGCCCACGGAAGTCACGTCACGTGCCCAGGGTGGAGCAGGAAGCGGCCGGGCAGCCGGAGCGGGGTTAAGCGAGGCCCACCGCGCAGTCTGGGAAGTCCGGTGCGAGGGGCGGGTAGGCAGGCCTCCGAGCAGGGCCTGCCGGGAATGAGGGGCGGGCCGAGCGCGAGGCCCGGGTTGGGTCGCCGCGGGGGGTGGGGTCGCGTTGCCTCAGCCCTAGGGTGCGGCTGTGGGGTAGGCGCGGAGAAGCGGGAAGAGGGGAGGCGCCGGGACGGGGAGGTGGGGGGAAGCGCTGGGACGGGGACGGGGGAGGTACCCGGACAGGGAAGATACCCGGACAGGGAGTAGGCGCGGGGACGGGGTACGGCGGGCTGCGCTTCTGGGAAGGTCGTTCGCGAGTGGCCGCGGCTCCACTTCCAGGTTCCCCTACCACCGCCCTCATCCGGGAAGGTAGGAGGCGGGTAGATGATGGAGTCGGGTTTCGAAGGAGCAGGAGGGGTGATGCGAGGTCTAGGGGTCTCTAGGCGCGGGAGAGCTATATCAGGTCAGGGAGAAACCGTGTTCAACTGCAGGCAGGAACGGAGGCAGTGGCCGTCAGCAGGCGAGAGGGAGTTGCTGGCGGTCTGCGGAATTTCACAGGGGAAAGGCTTAACAGACCCCTGAGTACTGTGACTGGGCGGTGGTGGCTGCAGGATGGGCGGGACTGACGGGAAAGGGAAGCAGCCATTCCTGTGGACTCCACAGCGCCCCTACCCCCTCCGCAAAGGCTTGCTTTCCTCTCCTCCAGCTCCCATTGGAGCCATGTTTTTCACCTGTGGCCCAAATGAGGCCATGGTGGTCTCTGGTAAGTATAGTTCTCTTCTCGGACCCCCAAACACCTACAAACCTGGCTTCTGCTCTTACCCTAGTCCTTACCAGCTCTGCAGCGTAAATATCTCCCCTCCACCCCAACCCCGGGCTGCAAGCTTGTGATTTCCAGACTCTACCCTTGCCTGGCCCAGGCTGCCTCCCCTCCAGCTCCCAGATTTTCTTGTGGGGATTGCCCCCTCTTCTTCCCCCAGTTCTATAGTCTTCCATATTCAAAAGCTCTGCCCCTGCCACCACAGCTCACTGGACCCTTCATCTTGCAGGTTTCTGCCGGAGCCCTCCAGTCATGGTGGCTGGGGGTCGAGTCTTTGTCCTGCCCTGCATCCAGCAGATTCAAAGGTGGGCAGGAAGAGAACCAGGGAAGGGGATTCCAGTTTTCTCTCTTATCTCCTTTTCTTACTGTCCACCCTTCTTTTTCTCTCTAGGATCTCTCTCAACACATTGACTCTCAATGTCAAGAGTGAAAAAGTTTACACTCGCCATGGAGTTCCCATCTCAGTCACTGGCATTGCCCAGGTGAGGCTTTCAGAGCTTTTTTCCTCAGAGCCCACTCCCCTATCACCTTCTCTGTCCCCAGACTTTAGGGATCTTGTGACCATGGCCTTCCCAGCCTCTACCTGCATAGAAATTTCCTCTGTATTCTCACCTTCTCCAGTGCACTTGACTCCTCCTCTCTTCTCTCCCTGCTTCCTCAGACCTCCACCTAACTCTTCCCACCCTTCCTCTGGCTGCAGGTGAAAATCCAGGGGCAGAATAAAGAAATGTTGGCAGCCGCCTGCCAGATGTTCCTGGGGAAGACTGAGGCTGAGATTGCCCAAATTGCACTGGAGACGCTAGAAGGCCACCAGAGGGCTATCATGGCCCACATGACTGTGGAGGTGGGCCTGATGGCAGGGAAACATCTGGAAGGGATTCCAGAGGGGGGCTTAAGGACTGAACTAGTCTGTGGGAGGCAGTAGCCAGAGGTTCTGAGAGCTTAAGTTCCTCCTTTGCACCATCTCATTATCCTAGGAAATCTATAAGGACAGGCAGAAATTCTCAGAGCAGGTTTTCAAAGTGGCCTCCTCAGACCTTGTGAACATGGGCATCAGCGTGGTCAGCTACACCCTGAAAGACATTCACGATGATCAGGTAAACCTGGACAGTTGATCCTCTCTGTTTCCCTGCTCCCTTCTCTTAAACCCTCCCAAGGACTCCAATTTCTTCATCTTTCCCACAGGACTATTTGCACTCCTTGGGAAAAGCTCGAACTGCTCAAGTCCAAAAAGATGCTCGGATTGGAGAAGCAGAAGCCAAGAGAGATGCTGGGATTCGGGTGAGGGAGATGGCGGCGGGCGGGGGTGGGGGGGTCACTTGGACACTGGGCTTTTTGGGCACTTGGTGGGAGGGCCACAACTGACTGGGGCTGGTAGAAATGGGTTGGCGGAAGAATAAGATGAGGTCAGGCCTGGGGCAGAGGCAGGGCAAAGGCAGGGGAATAGCTTGCTCCTAGTGTGGAGCAGGCTGTCCCCCTGGGGCCTTTACCTCCTGGCTCTGACTCCTTACCTGATCTCTGTATGAACAGGAGGCCAAAGCCAAGCAGGAGAAGGTGTCTGCTCAATACCTGAGTGAGATCGAGATGGCCAAAGCGCAGAGGGACTATGAGCTGAAGAAGGCCGCATATGACATTGAGGTCAACACCCGCCGGGCACAGGCAGACCTCGCCTATCAACTTCAGGTCAGAGCCACCACACTGAGCAGATGGCTAGGCTGGGCCTTGCCCCTGCACCATTCCTCTCAGGCTACCACTGTCATTTTCTAACTCTGATCCCCATATCATACTCTCCATTTCTGAGCCAACTCCTCTATATGAGGAAGATTTAAAAGACCTAAATATGTCAGCAAAAAAGCAAAGCAAAGGTCAAGAAGGTATATGTTCAGCAGGGCTGGTCATGTGTTTGGAGCAGGTTGTGCCCTCTGCAGTGGCACCTGGATGAGGGCGGTGAACAAGAACTGAGGTCCAGCCCATGTCCCACTTGCCAGACTACATTCTGACATGAGCCAGTGGGTCTACATCCACCCAGAGGAATGGGCACCATTTACTCATTTGCACAAGGCAGCCCTGGTGATCAAAGAAGGGTGTGAGGAATAAAAACACAGAGTTGGGCTTTGAATCCTGGAAAGTGAGCTATGGGCAGCCCCAGGTGTTACAAGGCAATACAGTCAGTCGTCATCATTTGCAGATTCCATATTGAAAATGTGCCAAATCGTTAAAATTTATTGGTAACTCCAGTCAGTACTTGTAGCACTTCTGTGGTCATTTGCAGACATGCACAGAGAGATGAAAATCTGAGTTGCTTGGTGCACAGTTATCACTTTTGAGGTTGAACAAGATATTCTGCTTTCTTTCAACTCTTGTGTGTGTTTTTTAAAGTTTATTTATTTATTTTTAGAGAGAAGAGAAGGAAAGGAGAAAGAGCGAGAGAAAAATCAATGTGTGGTTGTCTCTCACACACTCCTCACTGGGGACCTGGCTTGCAACCCAGGCATGTGCCCTGACTGGAAATCAATTGGCAACCCTTTGGTTCACAGGCCAGCACTCAGTCCACTAAGCCACATCAGCCAGGGCCCTTCTTTCAACTCTTATACTGCAAACAGTGTTGTCTTCATGGTATATTTCCTGCCATATTTTTCACATTTTTGTGTTCTTGATTGGTGATTTCACTGTATAAAACAGTCCCTAAGCATAGTGCTGTAATACTGTCTAGTTTTCCTAAGTGCAGGAAGGCTGTGACATACTGTATGGAGGATATAGGTGTGTTAGATGAACTTCATTCAGGCAGGAGTCATTGGCCGTAAGTTTATTGATAATGAGTCAACAGTATTTATTACATAAGGTGACTTTAAACAGAAACACATAAAACAATGTTATATATTGATTTGCTGATAAAATGTTGGGACCAGAGGTTCACAGGAACCTAACCCCGTATTTCTCCTAGGAACAAAATAAGTATTTGCTAATTCAGTGTTCATGGCTACTTTCTGGAACAACTACCATGAATAACAAGAATCAACTGTACTTTGAGACCTTTACCCAAAGAATAGCAATATTATGAATTTCATTTTTGCCAAGAGTTGGTGCAGACTAAAAGCATAATGAGGTACAGAGCATCTCTAGTTGTGGGGATAAATTCTTGGCTTGTGGTTTGCTACTTAGAGTGTGGTCTGCCTACCAGCAGCAGCAGCTTCAGCAACACTGGAGTATTTGCTAAAAATACAGTCTCAGGCTCCAGCCCAGACTGAATCAAAATCTGCATTATAACAAGCTCCCTAGCTGATCAATGTATACATTGGAGTCTGAGAAGTAGCAACATAGTGGAAACCACTAGTGTGAGTGGGACTATGGGTAAGGTCCTTGATTCTCTAAACATGGCTTTCTTTGTCCACAAGTTAACAGATTGAGCTGGTTTGGGCTCTGTTAACTTTTCTCAGTTCCTCATTTTGTGCCAGGCTTTGTGCTGGGTAATCAGAAAATAATGGTTCAATCAAAAAATATCTGTGAAGTGTCTGCCATGTGCTAGACACTGTTTTGGAGGTGAGGATGTAAGTATGCGAGACAGAAAAAGATTCCTGCTCTCAATGAGCTTACAGTATAATACAGAACACAGCTAACAAGGAAGTCAGTGAACTTCACATCTTGCTTAAGTGCTATGAAGGAAAGCAGTGGGGGCTACTCTGTTAGGCCGGGGGTAGACAGAGAAATCTGCTGGGAGCAAATGATATATGAAATAAAACCTGAAGACAGGAATGAACCAGCAATGTAAAGAGTTGTGTGGCAAGAGTATTCTAAACCAGGGATGTTCAAATAGAACTTTTAGTGATGGAAATGTTCTGTACTTTGCTGTAATGTTGAGCACTTGAAATGTGGCTGGTGGATCGCTGGCTAGTGAAAT